ATTGGAATATTCATCGATGTCAGTTTTGGTCAGATTTATTTGTAAAATGACGATGGAAAATTCCGATAGCAGTAGGTATGCAACGTTTATGTAGAGAATATTCTGGTTTATTAGCAGCTGGTAAGATTGTACTTCGCTTAGAATTTCTCATGACCGTTCCGTTAAGGGCAACTGTGAAGAGAAATAGAGTGAGGAGGTGAGTGGCGGGGAGATGGCGATGGTACAGGCACACTGGCGTAAACGTGTCCGACCTAGTATAAATAGGTTTACTTCTTGCTAGCCTTAGTTAAACAAAGTTCGACCGAGCCAGGAAGCGAGCATTGGTAAGGCAAGGTTCGGGAGGAGAGTGTTACCAATCCCGAAGCTTCCCTTAGCCCTGCTATTCCTACCTCTACTATCAGCGCTGCTGTTGCTGCTGTTGCAGCTTCTACCGTTGAAAACGGGTAAACGCAAAAACTACCTGCTTCGTCTGAGCTTGGAGCAAATAATTCCGATATGTACCGGGTGTTTTTATCGTATCGTTAATGCGACATTGTGAAACGTGGAGATCGTTCGAATCGTTTCATTAAACTTTTTTCCCATTAAATTGTTCGTTAAATGCCCTTATTTCTGATGCTTCAATTTCTACAACCTCTTTTTTATATTATAGGCACTATTTCCTAGCTTTCAAATACACATCTTTCTTTAATATTCAAGAAAACATAAGGATACCAAGTATCTAAAAGAGATCTGTCGATTATAAAATAAAATTATTACGTAGTATTTAGCTACTTATTAAAATCTCGATTAACGGAAAATTTTGAAACCTAAAATATATTTACAATAAAGGTTGATACATTATTTGATAAAACTCGGTAATTGCGAACCCAGCCTCGATGACCTTGACCTTGACATATGTTGCGAAGATTATGTCCCGCGTAGCTTTCAGGAGGTCTTTGCCGTCGCTCGTTGTTTATTAAAAAGTTAAAAAGTTAAAAAGTAATTATTTACAACGGGGCACACCTCACCGATTTCGATGACCTTCAGATATGTTGTTAAGACCAATGTCCTGAGTAACGTTGCTTATACATACATCACTGCGGTGCATAACTATAGCACCGTCTAAATTTTTAATTTTTTCGGGCTTTAGATTAAAAATGAAAAAAAATTGAAAGAGTATGAATGACAATGAAGTTTAGACTAAATCTCATTTAAATTACCCTCTTATACAAAACGGTATAATCGAAACTGTGATTTTCCACTGTTGCATAACTATAGCACCAGCGTTATTATGCTAACTTTATTGTGTTTAATTTCGCTGCGCATCGTCTAACCTACATAACTAAACATCCGTCAAAATATAAATTAAAATTAAAAAGAATTTGCCACAGCAAATCTAAAAATTTGTACTGTGAAGGAAACAGATTTTAGCATTCGCGAAATTGCTCGTAGGCCGGGAAGGTTACATAAAGTTGTTTTAAACTTTTTACATGACCAAGCTAACTATGGAAAGAATAAAACGGGTGGACCAAAAAAGAAGTTGAGTCCGCGTACGGAACGAGAATCGTGAAAACGGCTAGCAACACGTTAAAATGTTGCAATAAAATTAAGAAAGAACTTAATCTTGATGTTTCACGGTACGTAGAGTTCTAAAAAAAAAATCATAACATCGTGAGATAAAAATTAAAGTCTGCACCCAAACTTCTACCGAGTCATAAGATTGCGTGACTTGAGTACGCTCGAGCAAACATGCATCAGAACTGGCATTGCGTAAGTTAATTTTAAATATTAAAATCTTCTAAACCCAGCTTATTGTAGTTTCTTTCATTGACAACTGGAATATCTTTTCGAACGAAAAAAAATTTAACTTTGATGGACCTGATGGTTACAATTCATACTGACGAGATCTCCGCAAGGACCCACGGTATTTCTCGAAAAGAAATTTCGGTGGAGAAAGTCTTATGATTTGAGGGTGTTAGGTTTTCTGTAGAAACGGTTAACGATCGACCGGGAACTGTTATTTTTGAGTTCAGGATTTTCGTTTATTGCTTGCACGGGTCTCATTACCTCCTCCGAGGGTCACTACAATTGCTTTGCCAGATTTTTAGTAATTTGTGTCCCTCGCGCTCAATAGCCTACGAACATACCATAAACCACGAATTTCCGAACGGCACATCTGTATGTAACGGTCCGCTTGCCGATTAGTCACCCGGAGGAAATTCCAGATTTTTGGGACCTTCCGCCCACCCCTCGCGACCGTCTCCCACCATTCCAAGGTGGCAACGCGCTAAGGGCGCACTGGAAGGGAGGTGAAGATGATACTAGACACGCTGACTGGCAAATGCAATTGTTCACCATTAACCAATCAGCGTGTCCTAACAAAATTCCCTCTCACGAACGTCCGAGTCGCGACGTCGGAGAGTCAGTCGTCGAATAGTCGTTCAACCACCACGAACAAGGAGGACCAAGGAGCAACCAGCTCACATCACGCGATACCATAGATCAGTTTTTACAAGTCCCAATCATTTCGCGACGTCGGAGAGTCAGTCGTCGAATAGTCGTTCAACCACTACGAACAAGGAGGACCAAAGAGCAACCAGCTCACATCACGCGATACCATAGATCAGTTTTTACAAGTCCCAATCATTTGGGTGATCCTTCGAACCAGTATCTAGACGGCACAACATCGTGCAAACATCGACAAAGCTCGAAAGTTCATCGCCACAACCACGGGCATTAACAGGGGGGCTTTTTGCATTGATGGCGTGTTACAATTAGCTTTTCCATCGAAAAAAATAAATAGTGAAGAGTATATCAGAATCCTCCAAAATAATTTGCTACCATTTCTTCAAGAAAATAATACCGTCAATTGGTCCTTTCAACAAGATAACGCGGCTATACACACAAGTCGAAAAGTGATGGCATGGTTTGAAGCAAACGGAATTAATATTATTAAATGGCCAGCGTGTTCGCCCGATCAAAATCCCATGGAAAATATGTGGAGCATAATCGTGAGGAACGTTTACGCTGAAATTCGGCAATACGAAAACGTTTCAGAGTTAAAAAATGCGATAATCAGAACAAGTAACGAAATCAACAAAGATATTTTTCGAAAACTTATTGATAGCTTACCAAAAAGAATTTTTGAGCTAATTACAAAAAAGGTGGTCCTACGAATTGTTAAAATCGTTTATGTTTGACTTCAATTGATGTGGTCCTATAGTTTGGAATGCTGTAGTGTGGAAAATCACACTTTCGATTATATCGTTTTGTGTAAGAGGGTAATCTAAATGAGATTTAGTCTAAAGTTCATTGTTTTTCATACTCTTTCAATTTCTACAATTAATTTTTTTCCATTTTTAATCTAAAGTCCGAAACAACAAAAAATTTAGGCGGTGCTATAGTTATGCACCGCAGTGTACATATAACCGCCGCTTGGCCTTAGTTTCCGAGAGATATTCCTAAAAACTTCAGTTCAATTTACGTTACGATTACATTTCATTCTGGCGTAGATGGACACCTGACAGCCGCCATACTTTTGTTTAACCCAACCGAAACCTAACTCATTGACGATAATCATTTGTAACATAAATAAGAAAGAGAAATCAATTGGCTGTAGGTTAGGCTAAATTAATATCCGATCTCCATGCAACAACGCTAGCGTGAAACAATTTTTGATTTGGTGTAGAATAATATATGCGTGAAACTACCTCAAAAATATGAAACTAAGTACAGTAGAGTTCCGATTATCTTTTTACCGGGCAGATTTTTCTAGACTATTCATCGGTAACCGCCGCGAATCATTTTTCGCACAAACGAAGAAGTCACGGTCACATGCATCCAGCAGTGACATCGATACCAAACAGTTGACGTAAACACATTGATACTTAATGTTCGAAATATTTCTTTCATTTCTGACCTTGTCTGACCCTGGCGGTCATTATGTAGCACATGGGTGAATTCGTCTTTGATTTAAAAAATTAAAGGCCACCTTATTCTCTTGAAAAATGTGGCAAATATAAAAAATTGATATACGTTATTATGTTCGTCACAGAAAACTGCAAAAAGTTTTCCTCTTTCATTTTTTTCTAGTACATACTTACCATTTGCGAAAAAAACAATGGCTAGTAATAGCGTGAACATCCTGTATAGCATTGAAAATATTTGGAGAATATCTCGGAAACTAAGGCCGAGCGGCAGTTATACTTGTATGTATATATAAACAAAGTTACTTAGGACATTAACCTTGGAGTAACATATCTGTAGGTCATTGTTAGGGCTTGCGGTTGATCTTTCGATCGTTCAAGCTTTGCCGGTTTCTGCACGTGTGTGCCGACTAATGGTCTAAGGCTTCGAAGGACCAGTTTCTTGATTGAAACACTAAGTTTTTATTTTGAGTTCTATGTTCTACAACTAATTCGAGGTATAGAGTCTACTGCGAAGTGCAAAGTGTTTCTCTCTGGATGCAAAGTGTTTCTGCTCTAGTCTCTGCGGTTTCCCTCGACGAAGACTCCCATTTTCCTAAAAACACACTGATTGGTGATTTTTCCTTTTCTAAAATCACCAATCAGTTTACTCCGGTGCATCGCACCCTCCCTCCATTTCGCCCTTAGCGCGTTATCTTAGGGTGGAGTGAACAACGACCGGAGAAAGTGTTCGGTGGACGGATGCGTGGGAATCCTGTGGAATCTCCGCTTTTCTAGGCTTTGTTAAAGTCAAGTGGCCCATCGACGTTGGCAAAAGTCGTGGGCCACTTTTCTATTTTCCGTTCGGAGACTCCAGGATTTATGGCAGGGTCTGGTCCTAGGGACTAAGTGTCGGAGGCAACGCAATAAACACTTGTGGTGTTTTGAGAAAGCGATATTTGCCTGCGACGGCGACCACTTGACTCGCTGCCATAAATCCGGCTACAGGATACGCCTTAACGTGCTCCTTTGTAATTAATTACCAAAAGTTATTAAAATTTTCGTCACCATATGATTTTTATACGGAGCAAGATGTGCAATTATGTCATTTATCAACTACGCGAAGTAAGGATCTACTCGTAACAACTGTTGCTTTCTATGTAAAACTAAATCTGAAATTACTCTGTTCAACACGGGTTTACAACTTTCCACGCAAAGCGGAGCTTCTATAATAGTATAACTGTTTTGTTTTGATATCCAATTATGCAGGGTCGGACTAAAACTTTGTTCATCTAGAATATTTTCATTATTTGTAATAACATGTATGAGGCATTCCACTCCAAATCGACCACTTTATGACGGCATGTCTTCCGATTTTCATGAAACTGTAATATGTTGTAGTCTATCTGAAATAAAGATGAGTTTAAGTCATCATTTTGCTGGTTTCGAAGTTATTAACAAATTATAACGTGTTGAAAATTGCGAAAAAGCGAGTTTTTAGCCAAACATGACTGTATAAACGAATTTTTATCTCGTAAACTAGACTTACAGAAACAATTTTTATTACTCGCGTCACAAAAGATGGATATATATTTCCGTATATTTCAGTATATTTCTAAGTTTGTCATATACGCCCCCTTTATCAATATGAAAATTGTAAATTAATGTTTATTTCACAAAAACGAGCCCCTTCTCACGTTTTTAAAAATCTGAAAAAATAGATGTTCTTTGAATGTTTATCAATAAGCGCACCAAATTTCAATTTTGTTTATTGCATAATTATAGTCAGGATGGAGCTTCAAAGACATCCGGGTGCCGTCCCGATGCGCTGCGCAGTCAACAATTGACTGCTCGGTTTGAACCATAGGTCTGAAAGGACACCCTTTCAAAAGCTGCCCAGAAATGACAAGCTATGACTTTTTATAACGGAATCTGCATTCGCGTATATTACAAAGGGATGAATTGTGTCGGATTGTTTGTTCCAATGATAACTATTAACTTCATCCTGTACGATAAAATTATAGTTCTCCGAAAAATCCGCAAAAACGATATGTTCGCCAGATAAAAGCGATTGTTTTGCGGAATTTAAAAACACAAATTGCATTTTTGCACGTAATCATACGTCTGCATACGTCAGAGTGATAAACTTTTCGCTCAATTTGTCAAAATACTCTTCACGCATCGCGGTTACGTTTATCACCCGATTTAAAAGTTTATGCTGTAGCTCCAGCTACAGTGGCTGCTATGAAGCAACGTATTATCGCTGAATGTGATAAGATATCATCCGTAGTTTTACATCAGTTAATCAATCGTTTTTGTTACGATAACGGTGGTAAATAAAGCTAACATCTTAATAAGAAATATTATAAAATACTAAAGGCCGAAAACGACGAAGGCATGCAATTTTAACGTAAGTGTACTACATAACATTTGGTTCCCACCAATGCGTATAAATATAGTAAAGGTGTGTCGATTCGTTCATTTTCTCTTTAATGACACCTCCACCACGGCATAGATTTCTAATAAATGAATTAAAAATGAGTGAAAATACTGTTGTTGATTGGACGAATTTTTGTCAAGCAGTAAGTAAGATAATAGCCATTTTACTTATTTATATTTAATATTAAACTAATATTGCATGTACATTGGATTCCAGCCATCAACTCCATCAACAATAGATTTATGCCGGACAAAGAAAAATGGTGCAGAAGGTATCATAATTGAAATTGGCGAATGTAAAATAGGGAAGAGGAAATATACATAATACTGTACATATTATTAGAGAACCAAGAATATGTTCATTTTGCCTGTACTGAGTCGAAGTACTGAAACTCTGTTGTCACTTATTTGTCAACATGTTGTACCGAGCTGAATTACACAGACTGATAAGAGGCGAGCGTATGACTCACTGAAAAACTGCAATTATATCCACATAACCGTAAATTATTCGGTGAATTTTGTTGATACCGAAACTGGTATTCATACGCAGAATATAGAAAGATTATGAAGAGAACTGCAAGCAAATATTCCTCGTTATGGTATTTGAGATTTTCATTTTCTGCATTACATTGCCGAATTTGTATTTAAAAGAAATACTATTACAAACAACGTATCAATGTTTTTTTCAAATTGTGAGTGCAAAATGTATGTGATAGATAATGTCGGAAATGAATAAAAGTATTGTTATGTTCTTAGATATAACACTTCAATTAGTATGTAATCTAATTTGCTGATGTGAATGTAACTTAACCTAACCTAACCCCCATTCCGAAAAAAATCAACTTCAAACCAACCTACGCTACTGGCCAAACGTTTGGAATCACCATGCATTGCAAGTTGCACCAAAATTCTTAAAAAAAGAGTTAGCATTTATAATAATTTTTTAACGAATTTGTTATCATTCAAATCAATTGAAATGAGGTAAAGTGCTATTGATGTCCACAACATCGATTTCAAATCAATAAAGAATTAATAGCGGATTCAATATTGATGTAAATTGGCAGGTGATTCCAAATTTTTGGCCGGTGGTGTATGTGATATTGGCGTACATTGTCAAGAAAAATATATTTGTCCATACACATCTTTTAATAACGAATACTAATGTCACAATGATACAGGTTAAGCTCCGCCCCTTTCCCACTCATACATGTTCTGTTCTTAGATACACATCAGCAAATTGTGTCCTTGAGCACTAACGTTAACTAACATATTCTCCAAACTTCTTTCGTTAATAACTTTTTAATAAACAATGCACAACGGCTAAAACGTTTTGATGGCTACTTAGGGACGTTACCTTCACAACATATGTCAAGGTCATCTGGGCTATGTCCGCTATTACCGAATTTTACCTAATATTTTATAGTCCAAAGTAATAACAATAAGTTTTTAAAACTAGTTGAGGTCCAGTATAAAGAAAAATATGTAAGTATATACTGTCCGACAAACCTAAAGTGAAGCCTCTGACGTCACACCCTAGCAAAATGGAGGCAAAATAGGCGTCATCCCCACTACTCTTAGGTCTTACACTGCAGGCCCTTGACGGGAAGTTGCGTTGTAGGTAAATGGTTTAGACAAACGAATTTAAGTCAGCTGTCGATAATGTAACACGCTGATAAAAGAACCTACGTTGACGCGTAAGACATATTTAATAGCGCAGACGTTAATTTCTAAGCGACTCGTACACAATAAATTGTTATTGTAAAGGAA